GCCTGCTCCTCCTCAATGTCGGCCCACTCCTCGAAGGGCGCCGGCTTCTCGGTTCCGAGAACCTGGGCATCAAATACTTCAGTTGCGTATTTGTACCTTAGGTCGAAGAAAGCGCAGTCAGTGTCCGGATGGATCATAGATCACGCCATCTTCATGCGCTCCTCGCAGTCGCGCTCATTCTCAGAAATCAGCCGGTCTTGGTCAGCCGCCAGCTTTTCTTTGTAGTCCGCTTGGGTCTGGGCCAACTCGTTCTTCAACGGTTGACATCAGACCGCAGCTGAGCATTCTCCTTATCAGCGTCCGCCAAGGCTTTGACGTCTGCTTCTAAGTCCTTGACTTTAAGCTCAAATTCAGCTGCCTTCTACTTGGCGGCATCAGCAGCAGCCGTGAGCTCTTTGACTAGCTCCTCCTGTTTCATCTCCCGGCTTTTAGTTTGAATTTCAAGCATAAGGGAGTTATATTGATGTACATCAATCAGATCGGCTGCCCGTCTCTGGGCAACCTTTACCTCCTCCTATTTTTTGCGCAATGGGACTTTCAACCCATCTACCCTTAACATCACCTGCAAAGCAGCCGGGAAAATGTTAGTGTTCCAATAAAAAACAACCGGCAATAAACAAAATAATACGAAAGCACCACAACCGGTGAATTACCTCAGCCAGTAGTGAGTTGATGCAGTCAATGTTGACTTGGTGTATACCCAGTACCGCCTCTTTTTCGGACCGGGTAAGGGCCCTTAGTATTCTCTTGGGATTTGACTCTCACAGGTCCAAGCGGCCAGGGGGGATCAAAGGCAAGAGCCGTACCTTGATTTTCAGGCTGAGGGGTTACACCACCCCCAGCCGCACCTGAGCCGGATACAACATCAAGCACCCGGCTTGAGGGACCTGCGAGCTCCCTCGATCCGACCTCAGCCGGCCCTGAACTTGGGCCAAGACCTCTCAGGCTTTTGCCTACTGAGGTTGGCCTCTCAGGAGCCGGTGGCTTCCCAGTAGAGGCGGGAGCAGGAGCAGCCACAGTCCTCCGACTCTTAGAGGCAGGTTAAGAGGGCTCCTCACCCGGCGTCTTGAGCATTTGACGAAGGGATCGAGGAACACTTTTGTTCCCCGCCTACAAAAGAAGACAAGACATCCAGTTAGTATCAAAGCGAGTTACAAATCATACAACCGGTTTATGGCAAAGTGGGCCAAACATCATACAGCCCGTTAATATTAAAAGGAATTACTTATCATACAGATGGTAAAAAGGCCATCCGGCACTTCCCCATCGTTTTTGGCCGCAAGCTAGGCCTTCTTCTTTTCAAGCTGGTCCTTCCGGATCTCAGCCGTAGATTTAGCCGGTGTCTTCTCCGGAGAAACCATCTCTAATCCTTTTTCTGCAAAGAAAAGTAAACAATCAGAACTCATTCAAACGTAGTACAGACGGCATAATGTGCCGGTTAACTATCAACATACATCTGCTAAACATCGTGCTTAGACCACTGGCGGAAAGGAACGCCTCGTCTTTGAGCCAGTCCGGATGAGGGACCCAATGTTTAGGGACAATTACTTCTGTCCCATCATCCAACGGCAAGGTGGTCTTTTTGAACAGACTCGGCTCCATTATCTGGTCCCATGCCAGTTCCGGCACTTTTGGAAGGGCGCACTTCTTTCCAAGCAGAGACGGGTGCTTATTGTAGTGACGCAGCCGGTGGTTGAGTGGCAGAGAAGGGGAATAGACCATGTAAAACTTGTTCTTCCAACTGCTCCACTTTGACGGCTTGTCAAGCGTCATCATGAACTCCGGATGTGTGGTCAGAGTATACCACGCATTTCAGCCGCCTGGGGCACGACTAAGATAATGCATATGCGCAAACGCCGCCCAGCTAGGCGTAACGTCCTGCGTCTCGCAAGCGGCACAATATCCCAATATATTCACCCATGAGTTGGGTGTTAGTTGCCTGACTCCAAGGTCGTAACCCCTTAGAATGGCTCTTATTGTTCTGTGAAGGGGGAACCGAAGGCCGGCTTTGAATGCCGCCTCGTAGCAGCCAAAGTAATTGTTGGCATGATCAAGGTCGCCATCCCAGACAACGGTTGCATTGGCAGGCGGCACAAGTATTTCCCATCCGTCTCCTACCGGTCGCTTCTCCAAGAAAGCCGGTAAGGTGGCGTTTAATGTTACTATATCCCGGGCGCTCATGGTCGCCTTTGTTGGGTTGTTTATGGAAGGCCACTTGTATGCCTCCTTATCCTCTGCAGGGGCATCCGGCTCCCCGGAGGACTCAGAAGAATCAAGTTGTTAGACGGTTTCTTCGCCGTCTGAGCTCCCGGATTCCTCTAAAATTTCATCTCCAGGCGTGCTAGGATTACCCGGTTGGTCATAAGGAGCATCCTCAGCCGGATTTTTGGCTGAGCCGTCAGACTGATAGTCGGGATCTACAACCGTCCATCTAGTCCGAGCCATTATGTTCTGCACATGAACAGAGACGGTCGGATTTGCAGAAGAGTAAGGGTGGTCCAAACACCCCCAAATGGCATCCCCATTCCTAGACTCAGCCGTGCCCGGTGACCGGTTGGCAACTGTCCTAAGCTGTTCCATGTGTGTGTTGGGTGAGTCCATTATTCACTAACAACCTGTACAACCGGAAAAAAGCATAAAGAGTTGCAAGGGGCAGAGACGGTACCTTTGGAGTTGAAGAAATCTGGAAAATTTGACTCCTCGAAATAAGCAGCCGGATTTCTGAAATGTTGCTTGGTGATAACCCAGACGGAAGCCCGGATGTATCCTCTTCAAAGAACAGCTGAAATTTGTAAAGGCCCCAACCGTTTTTTGAAAAAGTGGTTCAAAGATACCCCAGACGGTTGAGGCCGAATAGGGGTGTTTTGAGAGCAACTGAAAATAAGCGGATGATCAGGCGGTTTTTGGGAAGATAGTTCAAAGATACCCTAGACGGTGTAGACCGACTGTGGGTATATTGAGAGGAAAAAAGGGAAATTGACTAAAAAGTCAGGCAGTTTTGAGAGAAATGGCTCAAAGATGCCCCAGACGATAATGAACCGGCTGTGGGTATACCAAAAGCAATTGAAGAAATCTGACTAAGGTCAGACGGTGTTTGAGAAATTTGAGCAAATGTAATTCAGACGAAAGCCGGATGAGTTAAGAAAGAGGGAGATTGTGAATATAGTAGCAGTCGGTTTTAGAGCGTTTTTTCTCAAGAAGTTTGTAAATTTGCAAAGTGTTGCAAATGATTGGGGAAAGTTTCCATTTATAGAGGAAACCAGGAAGGCGAGCCGTCATTTCCCCTTGAATTCAAATTCGAAATTCGAATTCAAAAAAAAAAAAAATGGAGGGAAGGAGACGAACCGTCACCTTCCTAGAATGTGACACATGTCACAAGTTGCTACGTGGCAAGCCATGTCACAGGTGCCACGCAGCAAGTCACGTGCCACCTGTGAGGGGCAAATATTTAGGGTAAAAATTACCCATGCACGTGGCCTAATAGCATGCTGACACGTGTCAGCCTTAGAAAGGCCCAATGGGATCCAATCCTTTGCTGACACGTGGTGCCTTAACCCTAAAGGGAGAACTGATCCCCTTGCCCTATAAATAGAGGAAAATCCTCATTTATTACCCATTCAAAAAAAATTCATATATATACGCACAAAAACCGAGCAATCATAATTGCAGAATTCTCTCTGAATCAGTGAGAAAAACCCTTTACATTCCGCACTATACTCCTCATACGCGTTCTAACTTGATCGTCGGAGACGAAACTCCACCCAACCGGAGTTTCGTGGTTTTACCGGTACAGACGGTGGACGCGCATTCTTGGAATTGTAACTCTCCCGAGGGACTCCAAAAACCCCGAAACATTTTTGGTGCAGCAGGCCACACGGTGTGGCCTGCTGCCAACTCAGCAAAAATAATGGAGTCTGACGCGCATAACGGAGTCTGACACACGCGCAATTTCAAGTAACCCCTAATTTCAAGTAACCCCTAATTTCAAGTGACCCCTTATAAGCAACCCGTAATTCCAAGTAACCCCTATTTCAAATAACCCTTAATTTCAAGTAGAACCCCTAATTTCAAGTAACTCATATTTTAAGTAACCCCTAATTTCAAATAACCTATTTTATAACATATCCAAAACTGAAGATAAAAATAAGTAACCCATATTATAAGTAACCCCTATTTATTTATTTGAACAAAAGTAACCCTTATTTTCAAGTAACTCATATTATAAATTTTCCCTAATTTCAAGTAATTAATATAACCAGTTACCCCTCAATAGTTAACCCATTTTATAATTAACCCCTTTTCTTCTTCTTCTTCTTCTTCTTCTTCTTCTTCTTCTTCTTCTTCTTCTATAGATCTCCTTCGAAGCTACTCCAACGGCGGCGAAGAAGACGACGACGACGACTAACTCCAGCTCCAACAAATCAACCCAGAAACCCAACAACCCCGCTTTTATACTTTTGTTGCGGAGTTGCTTGAGAATTTTGCCGAAAATCACACATTTAAAACCCTAAAAATCAATTTCATAAATTAATTACTCCATTAATGGATCAAAATCATACACCACACATAATACATATCCAAATCATTCAAACCCTAATCAAAACAACATCAATTAAGAAAAAAATCAAAAAAGGGTAAAAATCAAAAGGAGCGTGAAACAAGCTATAGCGATGACGACGATGAGGAGCAAAAGTAGGGTGATTCAAAAACAACTTAGCCATAAAAACTCCATGAAAATGAATACCCAAAAATCCCAAATAATCCCTAAATTACTCCTCGACAATTATGGCCTAAAAAAAGTAATAACAACAAGATTAAACCCCATCAAATTTTCAAAACATCTGTTTCAGAATTGTGGGTGTTTGTATTAGCTTACTGTTGTAGGAAATGGAGCTCGAAAAGTGTAGAAGAAATTGTCGATTTCCCAGAATTTTCTCTCTCCTAAGTATAGGGAAATGATCTAAATTGCGTTACTTTAACACGAAAATTGGGAAATTCAAAGAAAACAACTCTTTTTAAATAACGGGAAACAGGATTAGAAATGGGAGTCCGTTATTTTTTTGGACCTTAAATAAGACTGGGCCCGTAATGTACGTTGGCCGCATGGTACAACAGGCTGCATACAAAAAATTGTGAAAAAAAATAAAAATAGCCCTAGAATCAGCCAGATCCATCCTAAGATGATCGTCTTATACAATGGATATTATTTGCTCGCTAAGTGAAACAACCTGAATCCAAGCTGTAGAGGTAAACAAAATAACATGGAATAGAAGGCTCTCAGCTCGTATTACTCCTGCTCAACTTTACTTCATAGATGGCTGCTGTTGGGTAATGCAATGTATATTACCGCCTGCCAAAACAATTTCTCTTGCACCTTCGATTTTTACTACCTGTAGAAGCCGTTATAAAGTTAGTTTTCTTCGAAAAGCAAGTGCATTAGAAGGATACATAATAGAAAGTTTATAATTATGTTGAACACAATCCTCATGCAAAATCAGCACTTTAGTATGGGATCATCTTTAGCAAACTCAATGATAAATCGAAACAGTCCTCATGCAAGAGTAAGATTTTATTGGCCATTGCACCTCAGAAAGGAGAAAGGAGGCAGGGAAAAGGGGCAAAAGGAAAATGCAGAATAGTCTATACTCTATCGAGACATGAGTAGAGAGGGAGGAGGAAGCTATAAGTCTAGCATTTGATTGTCCCCTTGCATCTCATATTAGTCATATAAGCTTATGCTTCAAAAACAAAGGCCTTCCAAAGATGTTAATAGATAGGATTCTTACTGATGGCTATTACTCATCCAATTTATCTTTTTGGAGAGGGACGATATAGGTGGAGACTATTAATAAAATGGAAGCAGACAGTAAAAGATGAAGGACGCAAACACAAACTCCAATGACCTTTAATCTATTCTTCTTCCAGAGGGTAGTGGTACCTCGAACATGTCAAGAAGATAAAAAAAAAATGTCCCGTAATTTTAAACATGAAGCTAGATAGTTTTGTTACTCGCATACCTTGACCACAAGGCATCAGACACATCTACTAAACTACTCAAACTCAAGTAACACAATTTGAACGGTGGCATGAGAAAAACTGAACAAAAAGACAGAACGTAGGAAGGAGCATGTGTGAGAAGGAAAATAAAGATGAAGAACAGACGAAGATAGGATAATGAATCAAAAAATACATAAATTGTACATGCATATTTACCTCGTAATCTGGAAAGGCTTCTGATAAAACACGAACAGCTTCATTGTCCCACTTCTTATCTCCAAATTGAGGAGCTATAATCCCTCCATTGGCAATGTAGAAATTTACGTAAGATGCAGCAAGTCTAGTACCAGGCTCTCTTGGTTTTGCTTCACCATCCTAACACATTAGACAATCAAATTCAATACAAGTACAAGAGAAGTACAATCATAACTTCATATTGTAGAAGTCTGCACATGTACATGTGTAATTGTGTATACATGCTGATCCCTTTGGCTTAGCTCTCTATCCACTAGGATGGAATTACGAATATGCATACGGGCCTTGGTTGATAGATACGAAACATATGATCAAGAAAAACAGAAAGCAATATAATTCAACCAGCCCAACCACAGTTTATGCACAAGAACCAAGCGCACATATAAGGTGATATCATCAGTTGCATTCACTTTCCAAAGGATAAATTCATATTTATGTAGGTAGGCTCACTAAAGCAAGGAATAGAAGTCCAGCTTGGTGTGATGGGATTCAAATGCCTGCAACAAGGCATTATGAAAACAGGTCGCCTAATTGACAATGAATAAATAGAATAATCATACTACATGGTGGAACAATTTGGAAAAAAAATCAAGTCATCCAAAACAGGAAATCATCAACGTCTTTATTGTTAAAGAAAGACCATTTACATTGAACATCTGACTCTGTCCAAAAAAAAAAGAGCATCTAACAGAAATCCAGACATCATTAGTTCCGTGATGATAGAAATTGTCCTCAAAGATTTCTACATACAATAATTATCATATCAGCAAGAGTCACATTTTGTTTTCAAGCAAATTCAGACAAGAAGTAGCTTCATAATAGTCAGCACAACACATTAAGTGTTTTCTAATCAGAATGGAATGAAGCGCTTAAAAGGGTGACCAAGAAACAGAGTTACGAACTTGTCTACATAAGAACACAATCTACTCACCTGGATGATACCTGCTGATTCCTCGTCTGTCATATACAATGGACAGGGGATATGAAGTTTCACTACTTCTAGTTTTCTACCGTTGGCATCTGTGGTACTGGAGAGAACTGACAAGGCTTCAAGGGCTCGTTCATAATGTGGATCTGATTCATCATCTGTCCAGGATAATAGCACCACCCCAGGCTTCACAAAGCAGCACATATTATCTATATGACCATTAGTATCATCATCGCCTGCACAAAAAAATGTAAATAGTAAGATTCAGCAATTAAGGACCTTCATAAGACATGAAGAAAGCCACGCAAACAGCCCTCAACTCACATCAAAGATATTCAACATATCAGCATATACCACCCTCACATGGAAGATAATAGAAAGATGTCAAAATTAAATCTGGAAGTAGCTAAAAAAGTGGGTTATTGAATGACTATGGTCATGGTGTGATTGGTTTCAACACGGTTAATCATATACAAAATTAAATTCATTCCTCCATTTGATGATAAAAAAGAAAACTTCACCACAAGAAGCAAAGACTACTTTTTGTGACCCCTTTCCCAAACACATGAACACACACAACAAGCAAGAGTATAATAGAGAAGGGCACGGAATGGTATTTCAACATGCCCAAAGATCTAGACTAGAGAAGATTAAATGTAATGACAACTGAGCTGAGTATAATTCTATAATGTGCACGTAAAAATTTCAACTGAATATGGTATTTTCTCATCAATTGTTAATTCGCCTGCCACAACCTTTCAAAAAGTCAAGAATCTATATAACCTCAAATGACAAATGAAAACCTTTCTAAATTCTGAAGACCATGGTGGCATGAAATCCGTAGATACAGAAATAAAAATATGCAATACTGCATCACGTAATACATCTAAAAAAATACAATACCATGTAATCCTCGTGGAAGCCAGATAATCTTCTGGACCCCAAGGTATTCCTTAAGATTATCCTCTATCTGTTCTTTGCTCATGTGAGGGTTTCTGTTTTTATTTAGGAGGCATTCCTCAGTGGTGAGGCAAGTTCCTGATAGGAAAAAGATTTAAAGAATGCAAAATATAAGCACTGTGAACACATTACAAATGATCTCCAATGAGAAAAAAGGAATTAGGATCCCCCTTCCTTTCAGCACAGATTAAAATAAATAAAAATAAAAATAAAATAAAGAAAAACATGGATTGTAATACATGACTCACAAGTTAAATTCTAGTTGACAGTATTGAATGAATCTCAATAGTCAATTGATCAATTTCCTTACCAACCACCATCCAAATCCCCTCAAAAGAAACACAAGAGGACAATACTAGAAGAGTGCCGCTAAAAGGCTTCTCCCCTCTAACAACCTTCTTTTTTTTTTTTTTTTGGGGGGGGGGGGGGTGGTGGGGGTGTGTTTACCTTCCCCGTCAACATGGATGCTGCCGCCTTCTAGAATCATGGTATGAGGAAATCTTGGCAATTTCTCAATCTCTAAAATCTGCCAGAAATAGCAAATATAAGGGAAGCATTAAGATGAATAATGGTGAGCATATATGCTCAATGGTGAACATCATCAGGGATCCTGACATAGTGACATTACTGACACACAAACTAACCTTCCTTGAAACAAGGATGTCATGACTCCAATCCGTATAACAGCCATCATCAACTCCTATAAGGTATTACAGAAACAAACAAACTCAGGATAACATGATGTCTAAAGTTACAAAATCAATATTTTTAAAATGAGGAGAATTGGGCTGCAAACAAACTTCAATGTTTTATATATATTTTAACCAACCCAAAAAGAAAAGAAAAATAAGCCTACTACTTTGAAATAGCAATCCCTTCTATGCCAATTCAGACCCTAAGACAGAAAAGAACAATAGCTGAACATTACACTATCACATAAGCTGGCAAATGCTAAAGCATAAACTTATTGCACATTTGCATCATAACACTAAGCTAAACTTGTATTAGAAAAAATAGAATTTAGAAGCTTATAGACTTATAGTGTCTGCTTAACAATCAATATAGCACTTACCGCCCCAACTGTTGAAATTCCAATCAATACCAGCTAAACTTTTCAAGGTAGCGCCTGAACTTGATATATGCTTCCTTACTACAAACTGAATCAAAATAGATGTAAACTAAATTCAATGCTTATATATAAAAGGAATTGTAAATGAAAGAAAAATCAAAGGCCTGAATGAAAAAGGAAAAACGCTGAAAGGCAAGAGGATAAAACTCACAGTAGGTCCTGAATCACGAAACCAGGAATCATTCATACTCATTTCTACAACCCTGACATTAGGCGGTAATTGACTCCTTGCATTTGTCCACTGTAGAGTTCATACAGAGCAGCTCTCAATGACAAGGCAAAAAGGAGCCATTTATTAACTACTGTATTAATTGTAAAGGCAAAACTTGAATCAAAACACCATCTGACCTGAGCAGGGCTAGCACATACAGTGACTGGCTCAAATTTTGATATTGCAGTTGCTACTTTTGCAAATACATTCTGAGCAGCTACTGCATTATCTCGCCAATTATCTGGCCGTTCCTATCAAACCCAATATTCATTACAATATAATATCAATGAGCATAGAAATCAACAACATGCTGGTAGTTAATTCAACATTGAAAAATCTCCTTTTTACTAGGACAACATCAACACCATTAGCTCGTAGCGTTACAATAAAAACGAAGGTTTATTGAATATTGAATACATGAGCTATTCAATAAGATTATTCAATTCAGTCCTCTATAATTTAACTTTTTTTTTTTTTAATTTGATAACTTGAGTCTGCACCAATATATTATTTTCAAATAAAAACTTAGCCAATGATATAGAATGCATAGTTACGCAAATGAGATCATATACTCGGGAGCATGATGCTACAAAAGAGAATAAAAAAACGGAAACCAAAAGTAACGAAAGCTAAGAGTTTCTATACCGGCCATCCTAACCAACAATGGGAATGGGGTTCCCATTCAGCAGGCATACAGTACCCATTTTCTGCCGGAGTACCTATTTCCTCCATCTTTATTTTACTGGAAATATAAAAAACAACAAAAATATCAAAAAAATAATTACTCCTTTCTAACAAAAGCACTTCCTTCAAAGTTGTAACACTTGCAGAAAAAGCAAGAAAAGCATGAATGGAATACTATTAAGAGAATAATATATGCAGTCAAGCCGACGGCGGTCGATCTACTGGAGGAGTGGTCGAGTACTCGAGTGAAGATGGAGCAGCGCTTCTTCAGTTCTTCGTTTCATCCGCTCCAGCGTTCATATCCACCCCTGAGTCAAGCCACTGGCCCACTACTAGGCAGCTATAGTTTTTTTTCCTAAAATCATACTTGTATTAATTCGACTCACATCCGCATAATTAAACATTTTAAAGATGTTATCTCACATTTTATTAATGAATACAATTTCCAAGTAGTTCTAAACTATTGTACTACGTATATAAACAATCGTATCAAATTTTTTCTAAAAAAAAAACAAAAAACTTTGTATTATTAATAAATTAAAATAGTAATTTAATACTAGAAAATTTCAAATACAATTGAGAAGTACAACAAAAACCATAAAAAATTCATAAAAAAAATAAATAAAATCAGATCAAAATAGAAGATAGTACTGTAGTAAATAACAAGTACAGACTACATAATTATATTCATAAAAGCATTAATTCATACTTGTATCACATAAATCAATCCAACCTATAAACTTAAATACACAGGCATACTTGTTTAAAAAGACGATTAAATTTGAAAAATAAGATAAACAAATGACTAGTAAAAACTAAATTCAAACCAGCTAACCTCACATAGTATAGTTGAAATGAGCAAGTAAATTAGGGTTTTGTAATCGATATAGCATCGTAATTGATGGAAAAAGGAAAAGAGGAGAAGGGGCAGCAGCAGCAATATCTGAAATTTTTGTTGGTATTTGGAACCCTAACTACGAAACGAGAGTGAGAGAGAGAGGAGAAGGAGGAGAGATACCTGGGCGTGAGTGGATTGTCGCCGGCAATTTTCCGGCGAGAAAAGCAAGTGAGGTTGTCTGTTTCAGTGAAAGTTTTGGATCTGCGACCGAAATCTAATACTTCCTCCGTTCCTTTTAGATGACACAGTTTGACTTTTGCACTATTCACAAACAACGTATAATCACGTGGGATCTCGTTTGAATCGTTGTTTGAATCGTCTTAATGTATATTTCATTAATATTCAGTTTTTATAATTTTACAATGTTGATAATGGGAGATATAAAACGTTAAAATAGTGTGTTGGCAAACGTGATAAAAGAAATGTGTCATCTAATTAGGAACGGAGGAAATATATATAAATTTTGATAGTATTTATGATAAGAAATATAAATTATTCGTTAATTACAATTAAATTAAAATTTGTGATACCTACCATTATAAATTGACACATTATACAACACAAACAAAATTTTGTATCAATAAAAAAACCCCATCAAGCGAATTTTATGTTAATAATTTTGTGTTAATTTTTGATCATCAATGACCGAATAATTTTTAGCTTAATTTTTAAAACCCTATGTTTAAATTAGTATTTCTAATTATTACTTACATTGTATTAATTTGGGACATTCAAAAATTATATGTTTATGTTTTATTTACTAAATATATTTTTACATGCAGATCTAACACATCATACGACACAAATAAAATTTCGTATCAATACAAAACCCCATCAAGCGAATTTTGAGTTAGTAATTTTGTTGTAGTTTAGGTCATCAATGTCCGGGTAATTTTTAAAATCTTATGTTTAAATTTATATTTGTAATTACTAGTTACATTGTATTTATTTAGGATACTTAACGATTATTTGTTTATGTAATGACATACGATTAGATGTTGTATACTTAATATATGGATGACTTTGGTTATTTTTGGAGTTGATGAAAAAATTCCAATGCATAGATTTGATTTTATATCGCAACAATTTTTCATTTATTGGTAAATATGTTGATTATATTATATAAATGTAAAGATTTAATTTATATCACTTTTAGTTTGGCTAACATTTCACGGTTCAATTTATCCATTGATGTAGTAGGTTGGTTGTGGACGAGGTTGGTGATTCTATCGAAATAAAAGATATGGGAAAACAATGAATAATGATTTAGGATTTAACACTACAAGAAAACATCTGGATTCCGACGGAATTTATCCGTCGGAAACATCGGAAAATTCGTCAGAAAACGACCTTCCGAAGGAATTTCGTCGGAATCAGTCTATCGTAATACCCTTTGTAGGAAATTCGACGTTTTCCAAGGGAAATTCCGTCGGAAGCCACTTTTCCGACGAAATTTCTGACGGAATTCATTCTGTCGGAGCTGGTTTTGACTTTAAACGAGAGTCTGTCGCAATTTTCCGACGAAAATGTTTCCGTCGGAAAAGGACATGTTCCGACGGAATTATTGGTCGGAATCTTCCTTCTTCCGACGGAAAAGGAATTTTCCGTTGGAAAAGAAATGTTCCGACGAAAAATTCCATTGGAAAAGGATATGTTCCGACGGAAAAATCCATCGGTGGAGGGAAGATTCCGACGAATAATTCCGTTGGAAGAGGAGAAGATTCCTAGGAATAATTTCGTCGGAAAGTAAAGCTTCGACGGATTTTTCCATCGGAATTATCCAGCTTATTTAGCAAATTAAACGATTTAATTTGGATTTACCACTATTCGTCACCTATATCTTCTGCACCTAATTTAAGATAAATTTGAATTTTTGATTTAATTACGAAAATATTTTTATATATTTATTTATAATAATGTATACATTGTGTGTAACTATACAACATAATCTAAATCTAAATACATGTACATACTATATACACAAATTCTAAGCTACAGCCGGAGTACCTTGCTCTGCACCGCCGCTACCCGGGTCGTTCGTTGGGTCTCGACGCTGATGTGGAATGTTGGAACATAGGTCGATCCTCCATCTTGTGTGCATCATCTCTTCGTACCTCTCTTGGTTACTCCTTTCTATTTCGGCTAATCGAGCCCCTATCTCGACTTCCATTTCACTCTGCATAGCTTGCACCCTCTGCTCCACCCTCTGTTCCACTTGATCCTACATCTGGGAAAGAATGGAGGGAGTGTACTGCTGGGAAGAATTGGAACTTGAACCCTTCCTGTTGCCATAATACAGCTCTACACTCTTCACGAACTGTACTCCACCAGTTGTCGGCTTCCATTTTCAGATAATAGGAACTGATTGGCACCCTCTCTTGCAGAGGACAGTTAGTTGCAGTGAACAACTTTTCCATCTCTATAAGCCAACTTTCTAGAACCATTGATCAGCGGTTCCTTCATAGGTAGGTGGTCTATTAAGGTCAAAACGGTCAAAGACTAATTGCCCTTGATTAGGAGGAGGTGCAAAGTTCGATTTGCCAATGCTAAAATGGCATCCTCAATCGCCTTTCGCCTGCGTCGTGCAACAATCTTCTTAGGACTCATTCGTGGAGGCATTCTACAAAAAGAGCAAACAGGTTAACTCATAAAATACATCAAGACTCAACCATAAGAAAGAAATAATATACCCTTGGTTTCTTCCTACCCAAATAACTCACTGATAAACTTCTTGAAGCCTAATATGTTAAACTTCTAGATAACAAGAACTACAGATTCCGTAGAAAACTGTAGCAAATCAATGGAGTTTAGAACGTTTTGCTCTGATACCAACTGTAACACCCCGTCTAAAACATAAGGCATGACGTTAGCGGAAATAACGTCGAGACGGGAATGTCACTCTAAAAGTTACCAAGAAGAAATAAAGAAAAATGATTACATAACTGAGATAAATAAAATAAAGTGAAAGAAATCCCAAATGAACACTAAACACTTCGAACGAGGGAAACAATCGCAAATCTGATTATCCCAAAAGCAAAGGTCCAAAGATAACAAAGCAAGTCTATAAAACTGCTAAGAAATAAACTAAACTCTCTGCTCTCAGCCCCAAACTCAATAGGAACTACTCTTCACCTGCAAATAACATTAAGGTTCCACAATTAGTGGGGAGTAACTAGCAGTTCTCCCAGTACTTGTAGAAATACAAAGCTAAGTATAGAAAAGCTTAGACACAAGCATAAAACTTAACAACATGTGAGAACATCAACTCAAATAATAATTACCATATAAACTCGATGAAAAAAAAATGAAACATGGAAAACATGATTATAATACAAATCAAGCATGTAAATAGAACAACGTAAAAATATCACCACAAGATTTCAGAATAAATATAGCAACCCAAAACAAAATGGTAACTCATATAAACGATAATTAACACTTATAAAGGTTCCTTCCCAAAATTAATAGTATTTATAAAATAAATAAATTTTAACCTTTCTTTTTAAAAAAAACAAATTTATAGTGAGACAAGCATATAAAATATGAACACCGGTGAAATCCGCAGCCCACCACCAAAGGTTTGTTAGGGCGAACCTACAGACGATTCTGCAGCCGTTTGCCAAACTCCCGATTTTCCTACTCGAATTCCGCAACCCATGTAGTTCTGGACGACAACAATTAACCTAGGAAATTACATCTAGAATTCCGCAGCCCAAGATGTTGGCATGTTCCAACTATCGAATTCCGCAGCCCAATGATTGTCTTACACTCACAAAATATATAAAACTTATAAACATACCTCTTTAAAATCGTCCAAACACATTTAGGGATCATCAACCCCAACTTAAAGTACTGCAGGTCTCAACTTCTAAGACCAAAATTCAATACAAATCCTTCAAAAGAGTTTAACTTTAAAATTCTTCAAAATATACAAAATCATAAATATATATCATAACAAGGCCTCACTCTTATTGTCTGGATTTGGGTACGAAGCTAATTATACCAAAATATCACAATACACTCCGTACACAACCCTTGGCGAAGCGGTGCTAAAAACAATGTTATTCTATTTTAAAGCACAACGACGTTGACAACTTACTTGACACTTTAAACCATTTTTATATAGCATGAGAATAAATTATATATGATATATAAGAAAATCAAACACACTAGAACGCATGGTTTTAATTAATATTCACAATTACATACTTCATGCCATGATTTACACCTATAATACAACTTACTCAAGAATTGACAACTCATCAAATCACTTAGTACACAACTCTTGTATTTCGGACAGCAACAAAGGGTACAACACATGACTAACATGAGCATGCAATTATATACTTCTCAATTTAAATCATGCATGCAAAATTTTAATATTATTGTTAAACATATTACCACTCTAATTTAACATGGTCTTGAGACTGAATTAACATGCTTAAACAACACTAAACATGATTTAATAACAAGTATACAAGCTGTCCATTTTCTGGCAGCAACTTTCAAGCTTGAACAACCCACCTAAATTACGGATTTATGGCCCCAAATTAACAAAAATTCTATGTACATGTTACTATCACTAATTAGGCATGTAATTCACAATCTTGTATGGTTTAAAAACAGCCGAAAACCCACGCTAAAGATCAGTTTATAAACGGAATTTTACAGCTTGCAACACGCTTAAATCCATGGCATAATTCGATCCATATAGTTGTTCAATTATCATGATTCTACAACTAACCTTAAACACTATAATGTCTTACGACATCGAGCATGATTATTTAGCATGAACATCAACTATAAACATGGCTAAACTTCCCCTAATCACCACGCACAAACAGCACGCACAATATCCAAGCTCAACCGAAGGTAAACGAGAATAAGACAATATCCTTTCAACCAAAATTCCTTCTGTAAATGAACATGATCAAAACAACAATATATATAGACATTATAAAGAAGGAAATACATGATCTACAACTGCTATATCTCACGCAAATTACACTATCAAAACGGAGTAGAAGTTTAATCGACACCGCAACCGAAAATTCAAACAAACTAATCCTAATCGCATCTAATCTTATCTTAACCTAACCATGATTTCTAGAGTAATGGAATAATGCTAGTTACCTCGATAACTTCCGATAAAACCCACGATAACCAGAAAAACTCAAAATGAACTAGCCCTCTTGATGACCTTGAAAACCTATACAAAAACAAGATTGAAATAAGAAGATGTATGTATAAATACCATACATGAA